TCAAGTCAGTTCTGACTTAGGGTGACCCTTTTCAGGGTTTGTCCAGTAGAGCGTACTCAGAAGTGTTTTACCGTTCCCTACCACTGGGGGCACCCTGGGACTGTGCAGCTGGCCCAAGGCCACCCAGGCTGGCTCTTCTCCCAGGAGGCACAGTGGGGAATCGAACTCCCAACCTCTGGCTCCACAGGCAGATACCTAACCCACTGAGCAAGAAATAGCTGCTGTAAAAAGCTGCCCCTCTCCCCAGTCACTAAGAGTTGTTCTCTATTGTAAAATATCGCATGGAGGTCCATTATGTGTATTCCATCCTCTCTTTTTCTTCCTCTTTCTACAGTCAGCAGATACAACAGCCTTGAGTCACACCGTTTCAGGTCTGAAACCCAACACTATGTATGAGTTCTCGGTCATGGTGACAAAGGGTCGGAGGTCAAGTACGTGGAGTATGACCGCTCACGCTACAACATACGAGGCAGGTAGGTCTCCGTTAGGTTTTCACTTCAGGGTGGTCAAAGTTGACCTTTCTAAACTGAAGCAAGGTTACCAAATCCATTGTGAATACAGTTATTGCTTTGCTTTTCTCACATGCTGTAAACAGCACTTTAAAAAAGTCATAATCCATTCCATTGGGTGGTGAAAAGGAAACCAGTCTCGTTTCATTCAAGAGCTCTTATCTGGCTCCATGCCAGGTTGCAGCACTACACTTTAATGAATGGGAATGCTACGTTACTGTGTCATAAAAAGAAAGCGAAATTCAAAGACTTTGCTCACTAATCAGAAAGAATGTTTGGTATTCATTTTTCAAAGGAGCCCAGGCTCTGGTTAAAACACTGGAAATGCATCATCGTCCTCATCACCACCACCATTAGAACCAGACTGACACACTCGTTTATAAACACCCCAGAAAATGGACTCTTGTCCAAGGACAGGTGCATGAAGTTGAAGACAAGCTTACACACACACACCAATATGAGAGACAATAATGAAGATCCCACTTCCCAGTTTTCTCTTATGTATCTTCCTTGGTGTTGCAAAAATCAGCGATACCATTCTGTTCTGGAAGTATCAATGAAAGTCCAGCCTCACGTACATGTAGGAAATCATTTTAAGTTCATGCTAGACATTTATCTTTTGTTTTTCCTCAGGTGGTTTATTTAGGTCTGAAATTGTGATTTTGGAAGAAGAAACAGATATTTTCTCAAAAAACGTAAAAAATCAAAAACCCAACACAAAATTCGGGGTTAGAACACATCTTGTTTTGAAGCTGTTGATCAATATTGTTCTCCCTAGTTGTTGCTGTTTTAATACATGCCCCTGGGTAAACACACACATAAAGGTCGCACGTATGCACATGCTCACAGACACATGTGCATGTACTCCAAGAGGTATATTTTTACCCAGAAGAAAGGGTTCCATGCTGGCAAGTGCAGTGTCTTATTTATATTGTTGTCTTAGTATTTCATTTTAAGTTGTTTTTCTGGGTTTTTGCCTCCTCTTAAGCCCCAACCTCTGCTCCCAAGGATCTGACAGTTATCAGTCGTGAAGGAAAGCCTCGGGCTGTTATTGTCAGTTGGCAGCCTCCATTAGAAGCCAATGGGAAAATTACAGGTAGGTTGTGTCCCGTGTGATTTACTCTTTTCTTTTTCTACATCTCATACAGAAATGTGAACATTATTCTAGGTAGGAGGTATGTAGAATGCCACTGTTCCCAACCTGATGTCATACCAGTTGAATTCCAGTCAGATTTTCAGATGTCAGACCCGATTCTGAACCCAGGCTATTTTTTAAAAATTTCAAATGCTTAAAATATAGAAAATAAAGAATGTATAACTGCATCAATACGTCATAAACTCCCTTAGCTTGAGCTGCACATTATTGTAATAGCTTAGATTCTCATAACATTTTAGGCATGAGACAGATAAAAGAGTTCCTTCATGAACTGTTACTTAAG